TTGAAATATTAAGGGATTACTTGTCCAGAAGAAAACTTTTTTGTGGTAAATGTGAAAGACAACTAGCTAGACAAAACTATAAAGATTTCTTTACTGTATTTTTAATATATCAGCATGCTTATTATCATTTCTCAGAGTTGGAGAACACAATTTGGAGAAAATAATAGAGTGTATCTTTATTGAAGCTCTTTTTGTCCATATAACACATGTCATTTTTTAATATTTTACACACACACACATACACACATGATCCTTGGATTATTATGTTTTGTTTCTCATTATATATCAGCAATCTATATGTTCACTTTCAAATGTTCTTTCCTCTCCAAGGGGTATAGTTGATGAAAAAGTGTTGGATTTCAGGATTCCTACAGAAAAAACACATGTACCTTTGTGGTTTAGAAGAAATTGTTATCTTTGAACTCAAACTCAAGTCACATCATTTTAAAGGGAAAGATTTAAGCTACTGATGGAAATGCTTTAGGAGTATTCCTTATACAAGCTGAATATCCCTTATCTGAAATTCTTGGGACCAGAAGTATTTGGATATTTTTAGATTTTGGAATATTTGCATTATACTTACCAGGTTGAACATCCCAAATCTGAAAATCTGAAATCCAAAACGCTTCATCTAGCACTTCCTTTGAACATCATGTGGTGCCCAAGAAGTCTTGGATTTTGGAACATTTTGGATTGCGGATTTTTGGATTTGGATTGCTTAGCCTATTTTTATGATTAAAGAAACTCTTGAAACATAAACATACAGGGAAACTGAAAGGAAAAACTGGAACTAGCTATTTTAGTGCTTACTATAATTAGTTTCTTTGGTATCCTTAAGAAGGAAAACCATAAAAACTATGAGAACTTACAAAATTTGGGTAGACTGTTTTTAGAACTATTGTGTGTTAATATCCAAATAGAATTTTTAAAAGCATAAATTATATTTAATATATTCTACATGTTTTAATGTATTTGAAAACCTGATGAAATGTATTATTTCTAGAAAAACATATGCAAATATAGATTGATAAGAAAGCATGTGGAAAGATACATACTATATTCTTTTTATTTTAGTTTTTGTAGAGACTGGGTCTCACTATTTTGCCCAGGCTGGTCTCGAACTCCTGGACTCAAGCGATCCTCCTGCCTCAGCCTCCCAAAGTGCTGGGATTACAGGCGTGAGCTACCACACCTGGCAAATACGCTACATTCTTAATAGTACTTTCTTATAGTGGGGGGAGAGGAAGAGTAGAATTGGAGAGGAGAGGTGAAAGAAGACTTCAACTCTTATATTAAAGGGACTTTTTTCTAGTAAGCACATATTGCTACAGTAGGCCTCCCCTTCTCTGCCAGGGATATGTTCCAAGATCCCCAGCGGATACCTGAAACTATGGATAGTAGCAAACCCTATATATGTTATGTTTTTTCATAGACATATATACATACCTATGATAAAGTTTAGTTCATAAATTAGGCACATTAAGAGATTAACAACAGTAACTAATAATGAAATAGAAAAATTATAACAATATATTGTAACAAAAGTCACATGAATGTGATCTCTCTCTCAAAATATACTGTTGTACAGTACTCATAAGACTTATTTTGGACTGTGGTTGACCTCAGATAACTGAAACCATGAAAAATGAAACCTCAGATAAGGGAGGACTACTGTATGTTGCTTATGTAATTAATAATAGATTATTTATTTTAAGAAAACATTAAAATACAAATTTGTGAATTTTTAGTGAGAAAAAGTATACTTCATGGTTAACATGTTTCTTTCCTCTTTTAACCGACCTTTCCTAGGAGTTGGTGCTGCAGTAATCGATAACTACCTTTATGTAGTTGGTGGTCACTCAGGGTCTTCCTATCTGAATACAGTGCAGAAATATGACCCTATCTCAGATACATGGCTGGATTCAGCTGGCATGATATACTGTCGCTGCAACTTTGGATTAACTGCACTTTGACAAGTGTGAACTCTTCGAAATAGTGTGATAGCAAAACTTGTGCTGCATGAAAGGATGCCCAGTTTTCTGAAACCCACAAGCTGCATTGCATTCTTTTTAACTTGAAGTGGCATGAAGACTCAAAGTTTTGTTGGGTACTTTGAATTGACAAGTAATTTTGGTTGCTCTTGATTACACAGTAAATCAATAATCCAAAAAAAAAAAAAAAAAAAAGGAAAGACCTTGCCAATTGAATTGTGCATTTTTCCCCCTAAGGCTGGGATAGACTAGTTTTATGTTCTTAAGTGTACATGTGGAGAAAACCTTGCTGCTTTTTATTTTTAATTTTAGCTCTCCTTCCTTGACATGTACTATGATTTATTAGGATGAGAGATGTTTTAGATGCTGGAGTGTATTGAATGACTGGACAGAGTGCTGATAAAGCTTGTTGGATGTAAATGCACATGTGTCATGTTTTTTGTTTGTTTTAAAACAAACAAAGGGCTGCTTTTTCTTTTGGTACCTTTAAAGGTTATAAATAATATGACATAGTGATTCATCTGAATACTTTTCCTAGCAAATGGTTTTAGGGCTGAGTATGTAACAAGTTTGTAAGACAATTGCTTTTACTATCATGATATTTGGGGCCCTATTTTAAGAAGTCACATATTTACTGTTTATGCCTTTTACATACGGGCAGATTAATGCTGGGTGAATTTATTTATCCATCTGTGCTATAATAAGCATGGATAGAAGGAGTTATCCTATAAGTTGTTTAAGTTTTGCTTTAATTATACAGCAGGCTTCCCAGTGTTGATGTAAATATTTGAGAAATGTTTAGTACAATTCTTAGTACATATTGATTTTTTTCATCCCTATAATAATTTTAGTTCTCAAGGATCTTTGCTTTTTTGAAATGTTCAGATATTAAAATGGTGCTAAACTGTAGGATCTATAACAAGGCTATAACCAGTGTTCTTTTGGGTGTTCACTATGAGATATGCATGACATGTTTTGACAGTCTTTTCATCTTTACTGGCTTGATTCATTTGTGCTTATTTAAAATGTTAGCAATTGCACTAATGTTAACATCCAAAAATCATCAAAATGGCCTATGTTATGCTTTTCATAGTTCCTGAATAGTGATTTAAAGAAAGATACATTTTTTATCTTTTTTTGTGCTAGATATTACATGTCCTTTTTAAAAGCAGAAATATATGCATTAAATATAAAGCACTAGACAAAGTTATGCATTACTTTGTACATTTCTTAGGTAACTGAATATTTTAAAGTTATTGAGAAAAACTGGAACTCAATGTTTACTTGAGTAGTGGTTCTAAATTTAGTCCTACTTTGATTAAAGAAATGATCTTTTAAAGCAGAATTGTTTGCTGTAGCCAGTGACAGCTTATTTAAAAGAAATGGTTAACTTATTTTATTTTAGCATGTTTTAGTAAGTATCTGTCAGTTTTAAACACATTAACTTACATTTTATTATGATGTAGGTACTTGTATTTTTGGTACTATAGTTATTTTGTTTTCTTTTCCTTGATTTTTTTTTTTTTACCTGTCCACTCTTTATAAAGTCTCTGCAAATCAGTGTATATTTTTTTCTTAAAAACATTCATACTTCATTCTTAAGTGCCATAATGTTCTAGACTATTGTTAAGAAGCCATTTGTAATTATAAAACAGGTTCATTTGTTAGCATATATGTTATTTCTTGAAAAATGTAGGCAGGCAATTTGCAGTTTTCCTTGTTCTTCCATAAACTGCCAGTTGTAGATTTGAATATATACTACAAAACTGTAAAGTCATCTTTAATCATAAAAGTAGTATCGTGCTTTATGAATATTTGCACGGATTATAAAACCTTGCAAGTGATTTTTAGTCTCTTCTAATTTAAAACTCAACAGGAGCTATTAATAAAATCTACAGTCTGATTATTTTCTATGTTGCTTGTTTGAATAACAATGATATATAGCAATAACTTTTTCATTGATTTGAATAAATCTATTGCATAGAAATAAGGTGCACTATTGTGGTTGGCCTAGACTTTACTTAAGGAAAAGCAATTTAAAATAGATTCCATCAAATACCTAGTTTTTAATCCCCAACTCAGTTTTCTTTGTTCATATCAATCAAATTATTAAATATATTCTACTATACTATTTTTAATCCCTTCCCCTCAGAAGATAAGGGAATTTGAAAGACTATAGAAAATTATTTTAATTGTAAACACAGCTATACTATACATTTTATTTTAACAATGTTTTACTCATGTATTATCTCCTCTGTCAGATTAGTATAAAAATATAATCACTTAGTAAATTAGATCGAAAGCATATAATCATTGTTTTTGGAAAATCTGAATTTCATCTTGGTAAAGACTAAACATGAAACATCTTGGGCAATAGTAGAAACCATATACCAGTGAACTAATTATGCAAATCTGTGGTGGGAAGAGAAAAAACATTCAAAATTTAGAAATATGTTTATTGTAGCATTGCTAAACCTATACTGTTCATAGCAACCACAGCTACCGATCTGACCTGACAACTGATAAGTTTTTGATAGAGCCTTCTGTTACAAATTTGTGAAGTATTCCATTATGAATACTCTCCTGACAAATTGTGAATTTAAAGCCACATGCTTCTTATGTTAAGAAGGATCAAAATGTTTGGTTATAAATCCCCAGGATTAAAGGTGTTAGAAATAATTATATATATTCAGGAAAAGAGGGAAAAGCTATTTAAGATTGCCCAGAAATATTTTGGAAAAGAGCAGCATTGGGAAATAGAAATTAAGTTACAAGATAATTGCTTTCTATAATTATGTTATAAAGAGTTAATCTGTTAGGAATCTGGCTATTTAATATTTGTTGGATGCTGTAATAGAACTTAGTGATTTTTAATGTAATCCCAAGGATATTTACAAATTCCATATGTTATTACTAATACTGTTTTAAATATGAGTGAATACTAAATTCCAGGAAGTGGTATCAAATGATGGGAAAATGGCATTAGGTTTTGAAAGTTTATTTTGATAGTTGATACATATAGAGGGGTCTACAACAGGTATAAGACATTCTGTTAGAGGCTTTGGGAGCTAGAATGATAAGATATACTCTTTTCCCTCAGAGAGAGTAAAATATAGTGGGAGAGACCTGTACCCTAGTAACGATTAAGATAAAGTATAAATCTAATTCCTTATCTGCAACATCATAAAAGGTAATTAGGAACCTAGTTTATATATAAACAATTATTTAGTATCCAATTAGGTTTTATTGGCATGAAAAAGAAATATAGAAAACCTAATGTTTATAGAACTCCAAATTTCCTGTAATTGGATAATGTATTTTCTAGTAGAAAAACTGTAGAATTTTTTTTAAAAAAAATCTATTTCCTGTAGTATCAAGGCTCTGGCTAACAATGAGGAAAATATCTGTACATATAATGCTGTTTATTTTCAGTTTTGATGTTGGATTCCTGGTATTGTCACCTAAGTGCTCATTTTCAGGAAAATCAGATTCTACAATAAACTTACTGCTTAAAGTTCAATAAACTTGTGATAACCTTTTAACCTCTGTAGTCTGAAAGTTAAGAAATTATAAGATGTCACATGTCAAGTTAACATCCAGTTCTACTTCTTAACTTTTTTTTCCCTTTGTAAACAGCACTTTAATTAGACATGATTCACTTAGATAGAAGTTACTCTGTGGCTGGATATGTGTTGGATTTTCACTTACAGTACATTGATTCAGTATTGATAAACATTTGAAAAGAATGAGGAATACAATATGTTTTAAATACAATAGGTTTACAAATTTTCTTACCGGTGTAAATGTGGAGTAAAAAATCCAGTTTACATCTCTGCAGAGAGAAAAATTGTTATCCATATGTCTTTTATATTATACATATTTAACTAGAGATAATTTATTGTTAATTTTGTCCAGGTTATCATGTGTAAGTCCCATTTATTTCAAAATACTAAGCAAAAAGTTCCAAGTTTGCCTTAAAATATAAGTGAAATTAAAGAACTGGATGATAATGCCTATATTTTTGCCTTATGAATTGTGCTGTATAATAAACCAGCAATGGTTTTGATTTTAACAGGATTCTGAAATTTTGTAGATGTAGAGTACTAATATTTGTACTCTCTTGCAAAGAATGTGATCTAGTTGTGGACTATGTTAATGTTTAAATGTTTTTGTATGTGTATTTTACCTCTAAATATGTACCTTTTTAGCATCGGGTTTTATTTTATTTTTGTTTACATAGTAAAGTGGCACTTGTATTCTTTTTTTATTTTAAAAGTTCTTTGTGTATGTTATTGTGGTAATGCTGTGTAATGATTATGGTCAAATTTCATTTCATGTAAAATGTTTAAAATAAAATTGAAAAATATGACTTTGTATATGCCATCTGATAATTGTTGCAAACTGAACCAAGCTAACTTTGTCATGCGTAACTCTTAGGGTGCTTTTGGTAGATAGGTAGCGGCCTCAAAAGTTAAAGTAGATATGGGGTAGCCACTCCTTTACATCCTCATTATCAGGTTATAATGAAAACATGTTTTAGGCCAAATTCTGCCACACATTCAGACATTTACTAAAGAAACATTGAATAGCAAAAAAGTCACAAAAGAGTTCAGTCAGTAATCCCAAGGCAGTCCCAGCTTTCTGTCCTTTTAGATTCTCTAACAGGCAGTAGAAGAAAGATTTGCTTGAGGCAGACAAGGCAGTATTTCAGATGATTCTGTTACTTTAATAATCAGCATCAGGTAACCAGCAATCCTAAAGATCAGACTGTAAAGAAGTAATGAGATTCAGTTGCCATCTTTAAGGAAGTTGTAAATTACAGGCCTGAATGGATTCAATCTTTAATTTTACTATTAAGAGCAACTTTCTGGCCAGTTATGGTGGCTCACGCCTGTAATCCTAGCACTCTGGGAGGCCGAGGCGGGCGGATTGTGAG